GATCAGGGTCTTGAAGAGGCGAAGGGACTTGTGTTGGTCAATGAAATTGTGAACTATGTCATTAGACATGTATTTGCCCATAAGGGTCTCCCAAGGCAAACAGGCCATGATAGATACCCCAGACTAACACCGATCACATCTTCCAACCCACATTAAATCAGCATGGCAGATTATGGTCTATTCCTTCCACCTGCCAATACAACGTCAAAACTGACCCTCATTTTACGGAGGCCCTAGGACAACTATCCACAGCAGTGGAAACACCTGCCAAAGGCAGAAAGAGCTAAGAATCCCTGCGTTAAATCAGACTTCCTTTGGACTTTGGACATAGGACTGGTCAACATTTGAACATGAAAACAGAAGCTTGATTAGAAGAACTGCTGGTTGAACTAAACAAAATGCATTGGGATATCATTGGATTATGTGAAATACAACGAAAAGGCAAAAAATTAGCTGAACTTCATAGGACTGGCCATTTAATCTACATTAGAGTTACCGAACATGGATCATGGCAGAGTTGGTTTTTTCATTCTTAAATTGTTGAATTGGTCAACAACAATGATGGTAATCAGTCTAAAGTAATATTGAGGATAGCACTGATAGTGGCTACTAAATCATGATCAGTATATTACAGGATTAAAGACAGTTTTATTCTGAAAACCAGTTGCTGTGAAACAACAGATATCTGTTGCTCTTATACTTTGCTTAAGGGGTTCCTATTTGATTGATATTTTGATTTTTTTTTTTAAATAAGCCTTTAATCTATGATAGTAAGACAATTCTTATTCTGCTCCTTAGACAAGGTTGTAGCTTCATCTTAAAATGTCTGTTACAAACTACTTCTTAAAAATCTTTTCTCTGGTACCCAGTGCTATTTTTGTATGAAACTTGAATCAGAGAAAACTGTACATGTTCTGCACCATTAGCTCACTTTGATGAGAATAGAGAGGAATATTTGTAGCTCACAGTTGAACTGCGGAGTTCTTAGTGTTCTAGACCAAAATTGTCATCAACAACGATGGTTAAGAATTCCTTTTAACAAAATATATGCAAAAGTTTCAGGTTGGGTCCTGTGATAAAGATCTAACTATAATCTAACTACAGTTAATATGCCAGCTGTAGAGTTAATAACAGTTGATATAGTTAGTATATTAACTACAGTTAATATGCCAGCTCTTTCTTGATGAAATATAAAGCATTGTACAGGGCTGTCTTTGCACTTAACCCAGAAGTTGCAGCTAGTAAAATAAGCAGTTGGATTGCTGAGTGGAATTTCAGGTTATTCTAAAGCAACTTTAGCAAGTTGCCTATTAGCTGTTGAGACAAATTAAAGGATTTGTTGTTGCTGCATAAAGCTCTAAACAAACCTGAGACCAGGTGACCTGGCAGACTGCCCACCCAATTATAAATTGGATAATTGCAATAATCATAAGAGGAAGCCCTGCTATTTGTGTCACGACCTTTGTTTGCTCTCTGCTTGAGGCATCTAATCACTGGAACATTTCCTTCCCTGGCATTTTTGGACACACCAATCTTGATAATATGTTAGACGTGTGATAAAGATCTTTCTCCTCACCCAGACATTTAAACAGTTATTTGTATAACTGTGGCACATGAGTGCATTTTTTTCTTAAAACTTTAAAATATTTGGTATGTGTGCTTTAATTGATGAGATTTCCTAGGTTTAACTCTACTGGTTAAAGAAGAAATATGTAAATATGTTGGTTTTAGCACAAAGTCTGGCAAAGTATGGTCTGAAACCAGAATAATTCAGAAGCAGAAGAAATAGTATCCTCAACACTGATTGGAGCTGTTTTCTACAAGGGGGGAGTCAGAGAGACAAAAAGGACTAGGTAGTAGCCCGTGTGCCTAACGGCATGCAAATCATATATCTATAAACCAAAAGCAATAATACAATCTGGATTAGCGCGCTTCAGATTGTGATTTTATTTTATTTCAAAATGACCGGCTTAGTTCAATGTAATAGCTGTCTTGCACCTGTCTTTCGCAGTACTCTTTTCAAATTTGGATACTGTCCCCTTTGTAAACAAATTACTAGTCTACATAGACAGATTACCTATCTACAATCTCTAATCTGTGCTCTCCAAGCAGAAATTAGGTGTCCAATTCGGCCATTCCACTCTATGGAGAGGCCACGCTATCAGCCCCCCACACACACACACTACCACAAAGATCCTGCAGGAGAAGAGCAGTCTGGACAACTGTGGGATCAGGCAGTGTGAGAGCTGTGGACCATAAACACAAAGCTTTTGCTGTGACCCAGCATAACAGATATANGAAGGATGGAAGGCTGAGTCAACCTTGAGCCTGGTGAGATTTGAACTGCCAAATTGCAGTCAGGCAGCAGGCAGCAGAAGGAGCATGCAGTACTGCATTCTAACCACTGTGCCACCGCGGCTCTTAATATGAAGCCCTTCTCTATATCTTGCTATGATTTATTGTTAATATAGCCCTCAAATAAGTGAAGAAAAGTTGTCTACTGTTTCAAAATTCCAAATTGTAATGATCACAATTTCATTATGAAGTTAAGGTTGTACCATCAAAATGTTCTCATAGCATTCACAATCTACATACTACTAAAACTCTCCTGTTTCTTTGTTTGCAACCTTCAATTGGGTGAAATTGGAACGTACAGGGTGAGAATTATTGGACAAAAGTAACTCAAATGGGCTAATGTGCCAGGACCCAGGACTCTTGTGTGAAAGTTGCAGATGCTTAAGTATCACTGCACCTTTCAGGTAGCCTTGGAAGGGTGAAGGACCTTTGGAATATGTCAGGAGTGGAAGGAGGAGTGCAGTCTTCCTTGGAGTCCACAGTCTCTTTGTTTCCCCTTCCCTCACCAGTTCTGCTCATTAGGTGAAGAAGAAGGACTTCTAACACTCTCAACCAATTTCCCACAAGCAATCAATCAATGGGGAAGCTTTTTATTTTTTATTTTGCCCATCCAAAGTCCTTCTGTTTTTCTCTTCTGATAAGAAAACAAATCTAAAAGAATGTCCCAAGAGATCATGAGTTATCTAGTATTCTTTTTTAAATTAACCAGAGTTAATTTTAAACAAATAAACCAGGAAAGCTGGCAGGAAGTTGGAATTCATTCATTGGATTCCAGCCAATCAGTTAATGATGGTAAATAGAGGTCGGCTGCTTTGGAATAGAAGCTAAAATCTGAAATCTCTTAAAAACAGTGGGCAGTAAGGAAAGGATGAATGAGAAATTCAGATGCTTACTTGTGAAGTAGGGTTGTCTGTGAGTCCTTTACTCCAAGGAGGGAGGGGCTCCTTGGGGACACAGGTGATGGTAAGTGAGGGTGGAGTTTTTCTCAAGTTCCATAGCTCCCTTTCCCCCCCCCAACTCTTAGCAAAGGGGCCAAGCCGAGCCAAAGTTGAAGCGGAATGACTTCTAACACTCTTTGCCAGTGTGCCACAATCCATCAATCAATGGGGAAGCTTTTTCTTTTGCCCATCCATAGTCATTCTGTTTCTCTCTTTAGTTAAGAAAACAATTCTGAAAGCATTTCCCAAGAGGTTGTCTAGTGCAGTGGTCTTCAACCTTGGCAACTTTAAGACTTGTGGACTTCAACTCCCAGAGTTCCTCAGCCAGCTTTGCTGGCTGAGGAACTCTGGGAGTTGAAGTCCACAGGTCTTAAAGTTGCCAAGGTTGAAGACCACTGGTCTAGTGAATCCTTAAAAATTACCAGAGTAAATTTTAAACAAATAAACCTTCCATATTTCTTAATTTGTTGGTTTAGAAGAATCATATATTGCCTTCTCTATTTACAACTCTGAGTTCCTTACAAAGCATAATAAAATATTAATAAAAACACTATTAATATAAAATGAGCATAAAACATAAAAGCCTATAGTACAATTAAAATACTTTGGGAAAATGAATATGTTTTGTATTCCTCCTAAACTATAGCAAGAATAGTTTCCCCCCCAATATAACTTCAAAATAGGAGGGTTGTTTTAGAATTATATGAAATATAGGAATGAAAAAAAAATATTACCTATTCCTGTATAATCTGTTATGGGAATAGGGGCCATTTTAAATTAAGGGTCATCTTCTTTGGGGAAATCATGCTATATAAGTTTAACAAATTGCTCCCTTGAGAAAAAGAACAACAGTATTATAAATAGATCTGAAAGAACTACTTTTTTCAATATAATGTACAGAACGGACTTAGCGATGCATCACGCAGACAAATACTGTACAATACTACTTTTTCAAGGCTGCCAAAATATAATTAAAGGTTAATCATGCAGAACAAATATTTCCCAGTATTTTAAAAACATTTTCCCGTTATCATCTTCTTTATTTTTATTATATCATTCTCTAATAAGACTGAAAAATTGAAGCTTTATTTTTTCCCCATCAACAATTAGAATCTTACAACGTAAGAACGGGAAGAAAAATGAACAGTGAACTCTTTTGGAAGAAATAACCTAGGGATATCTTGGATCTTTTAAAAATATTCCATCCATTTGACTGCAAATTAATAATACATGTTTTCCTTTTTTATTTTCACATGGCATCCTGTCAGCTAAAGTAATCTAATTCTATGATTCAGTAGCTCAAAGTGTACCGGTAATATCTCTCTGGTTTGTACACATCCTTTCCAAATATGTGCTTTTCACAAATACTAAATTAGTAAAATGTTACCGCACACTTTTCTTTTCATGATAAGATGGGATCTGTTTTGTAAGTTCAAGGGTCTTCATTGCAGAGCGATTGAACACTAACAGCAATTATATAGAGCAGAGGTCTCCAAACCCTGGACTTTTGGGGACAGGGGTGGTATTAGGAAGGCTTAGTTAAGATTTGAAGATTTTGCTGGAGTATTAGCATTTACTACAGAAGAAAGAGAATGCCCTCTTGGAAAGTTTTCACTGCATTTCAGGACTAGATCCATTTCATTTGAAAAAGTGGACTTTTACTCCTAAAAGTTTGTTTTGAGCAAGAGATAGTTTTAAGTAGGCAAAATGGTTTCAGACCATCATTTGGAGTCAAAGAGGTAAGAATCTAGTAATCATTACTTAAACAATAAAAAAAGACAAAGTTAATTTAAGTGGACAGAAATCATTTTCAACAGAATCCTCCCAGAAATTTAGAGCACACTTGGGAACAATATTGATATATAACTATAAAAGTCTACTTTACTCAGCAAAAAAAATCAGTTTAAAAAATCACTGCCCTTGGAATAACCCAGTTGCTAGGAAACAAACAGTTCAGCTATTTTTTACTACTCTCTGGATGACCTGCTACAATTGGTTTTTTTTTGTCACTAAAAAAATCTCTTGTTGTCATCATTTCCACATTTTTGCATATGTTTAAATTCAGAATTACACATTCCTAAGAGAAGCATAGTGGCACTGATAATAGAGAATGGTTACAACTTACTATTCGAATCGCCTTACTAAAGCATTCTCACTGCCTCGCTGCCTAAGACAAAGTAGTGTATATGGCAACTCTGCAGTCTTCCATTGCACACTAAATCACATGTTTTGGAGATTAGGAGGTCCCATAATTTAACAGAAGTTCCATAGAAGTGATTTACTCATTGCCAACTTTAAATAACACGTAATTGATTAAATGGCACTCCCGGTCTGCTTACTAAAGGAAGACTTGCTCACTGAATTACTCACTCTCTATTGTCCTGAAAGAGCTATCTTCTTAGATTCATTGGCACTCAGTGTTGTTTTGCCTGGAAGCCTCGCATTCTACAAAGCTGCAGACTAGCTTTAGACTATCTGTTTTTTGTTAGTTTCTTCAATAATTGATTATATATTGTTCAATGATAAATGTGGTGAACTGAAGTGTAGCATGTGCCACCAATGTGCAAAAACCAAAACCCAGATTGTGCCGAGCACCTTTTCCATTCCACAAATGCAATTTATCATGCCCATGTTAAATAATGGATTAAAATGTAAGTCGAAGCGTAAAGACACACTAAAAAGACCATGACTTATATTGATCTGGCCGATCATCCATCAGATTTCCCCCTGTCTGTGCTTCGCAGTAACAGATTCATCTCAGGAAGCAGTTTGAAACAATTCTTCTGTAAAACTTATAAGAAGTTAATTCCTTTCCTATATTTTGTTTTGTGTTCCCAATTGGTATTGTAAGAGTCATCTCGCAATTACAAATCTAATCTCTTTTTTTGGCTTTTCCTTGTGGAGCACAATATGGACAAAGGAGAGACTCATTTTCTAGTTAAATCTGGCAGAAGAAAAGCTAACAGAATAAAGCAAAATTAGATTAAAATTACTATTTGTTCTTGGGAGTTCACTAGGTGCCCAAAACTGATGCAGGCAAGATAGAATTTTTTTTGGTGTGTGTGTGTGTGTGTGTGTGTGTGTGTGTGTGTGTGTGTGTGTGTGTNCAGGGAGGGCAGCAGTTGGGCAGGTGGGACCCACCCGGAGGATTTATCCATGGTGTAGAGACCGCCTGACTGCGAAGGCCGAAGAGAAGGTGGTCCTCACTCGATGGAATGGCTCCGCTTGACTAAACGCTGGTGAAGTTATTTTAAAAGTCCTCATTTCCCCTTGTTGGGAGCCGAGGCAAAGGACGGGAAGACCCCTGAGGAGAGGGGAAGGGTGGGGGGCTGACAGTCGAAAGGCTCTTCCACCAGGGGGGGGGGCTCTGACTTCGAAGGTGGAAGTGGGTAATTTCTTGAAAGTGTTGAGGAGACGGGCTGAGTCTCCGTTGCTGGGTGAGGGGCCAATGGGGTCTTCTCCAGGGGGGGATCGTCCGTTGGGTCCAAGGTTTGCTTTAATCCCAAGGTGGGAGGCTCTTTACTAACACACACACACACACACTTGAGAAATGGGCCCAAGGGGGAAGCAAGGGGAAGATCAGGAGATAGCTTAAGCTCTCTGCAAGAATCCGGCCAACTAACAGCCAAGGGAAATGAGCGGGAGAGAAGAAGGAATTCAAGGCAGCCTAGACTGAGCTCTTTTGTGGGGGCGAAGAGACTCGAGACTTACGACGCGTTTCATTCTTCCTCCCTGGTCCTCTCCTACCCCCGTTCCTCTTCCGCAGAAATATGTTCCCTTCCAACCTGGTGGAGGCTTCCTTCCAGCAGGTGAGCTCCTGGCCCACAGTGGCCCCTCTTCACTCCGGGGTCCCAGCTGCTACTCCCTTAAGACTTGGGGGTTGGCAGGAGGGGGAGGGGATGCCGTCACCTGCTTCCCACCACAACGGGAGTCAGACATACCAGGGAGGAGCCCATCGCCTGTAGGATCCCGGATGGAAGGGGGCCCTAGAGATCATCTAGCCCACCTCCCTCCTCAGTGTGGGGGCCCCAAACTTTTCCTGACAGGTGCCTTTGTCAGATACGTTTGATATCTGTGGGGATCCCTCCTTTCCTCCCTCCCTCTTTTTCTTCATCATTGGCCCCGATGAAGGGCTGGTGCGAAAATCATGGTGGAGGGGGAGTGAGGGAGGAGGGGCCCCCTCCCTGGTCCCTTCCGGCCACCCCCAACGCCCGCGGTCCTCAGCCTGCAAGATTCCCACCACGTAAGATCCCAGCCGATCTCCCGACTTTCTTTGCCTTCCAGTATCGGACTGTCCTCATCCCCGTCGTGAAATCCTCCGGGGTCCCGAAGAAGGTCAGCTCCTCTTTCAGCTTCATTTACTTGGTGCCCGATCCCGGGAACCCGGAGATCCAGCGTCCCGTTTTGCTGGAGATCACTCCCTCGCCAGAGATGATCTACGAGGCTCTCCCTGGGAGCAACAACGAGATGAATGTCCTGGGCATCGTCCTCTTCTCGGCCACGGTCGGTACGTCCGTCACTGCTCGGGGGCAGGGCAGCCCCCGCCCCATCTCTGGGGTTCCTGTGGGGGGGAGGATGGAGCCTGCCCCTTTTTCTTCCTCCCCCCTAAAAGAAGGACTGGGAGCACCTGGTCTTAATATTAAATGTCAGAAAATCCCAAGACTCTATGAAATCCACATACGTTGGTCAATATATAAGAGAAGACGTCGGCATCCTTTAAGCCAGTGTTTTTCAACCTTGGCAACTTGAAGATGTCTGGACTTCAACTCCCAGAATTCCCCAGCCAGCGAATGCTGGCTGGGGAATTCTGGNTTTCTTTCTTTCTTTCTTTCTTTCTTTCTTTGCTTCTCCTTCCTTCCTCTTCTTTTGTTTCTTTCTTTTTCCCCTCTCTTTTTCTTTTTCTTTCCTTCTCCTTCCTTCCTCTTTTTTGTTTCTTTTGCCCCTCTCTTTTTCTTTTTCTTTCTTTCTTTCCTTCCTTCTTTCTTTCTCCTTCTTCCTTCCTTCCTCTTTCTTTCTCCCTCTCTTTTCCTCTCTCTTTCTTTCCTTTCTTCCTCTTTATTTATTTATTTCCCTCTCTCTCTTTTTTTTCTTTCCTTCCTTCCTTCCTTCCTTCCTTCTTTCTTTCTTTCTCCTTCTTCCTTTCTTTCTTTCTTTCTTTCTCCCTCTCTTTTTCTCTCTCTTTTTCTTTTCTTCCTTCCTCTTTATTTCTTTTCCCCTCTTTTTTTCTTTCCTTCCTTCCTTTTTATTTCTTTTCCCCTCTCTTTTTTTCTTTCCTTCCTTCCTTCTTTCTTTCTCCTTCCTTTATTTATTTATTTATTTCCCCCTCTCTTTTTCTTTCCTTCTTTCCTATTTTTCTTCTTTCACCTCCTTCCTTCCTTCCTCTTTCTTTATTTCTTTCTTTTCCCCCTCTCTCTTTCTTTTTCTTTCTTTCTTTCCTTCCTTCTTTCTTTCTCCTTCTTCTTTCCTCTTTCTTTCTTTCTCCCTCTCTTTTTCTCTCTCTCTTTCTCTTTCTTTCCTTCTTTCTTTATTTCTCCTTCTTCCTTCCTTCCTTCTTTCTTTCTTTATTTCTTTCCTTCTCCCTCTCTTTCTCTCTCTCTCTCTCTCTCTCTTTTTCTCTCTTTCCTCCCTCTTTATTTATTTATTTCCCCCCTCTCTCTTTTTCTTTCTCTTTCTTTCTTTATTTCCTTCCTTCCTTCCTTCTTTCCTTGTCCAGCTTGGCACAAAACAGCCTTGGCGTCACTTGGAGAACATCCGGAGTAGATGCCTACGGAGGTTCTCCGTCATCCTGGTCCTGCTTGTCCCAAAGGTGGCTTTTTTTTTCAGGAGGCAACTGGTTTTTCTCTGAAGACGTTTCGCTTCTCATCCAAGAAGCTTCTTCAGCTCCAAGCGGCCTCAACGGCCCCCTAAAAAGGACGCCAATGGCCAGCTTTGCCTGCGAGGAGCATCAATCCTTCCCCTCCCTCCAGTCAGAGTGGAAGGAGCTTCTCGGATGAGAAAAGGGGAACAAAAGCAGAAACTCCAGTTGCCTCTTGGGAAAGAAAAAAACACCTTTGGGACTCTGAGAAATACGGAAACTCCAGATGTTCCTTCAAGGAATCCTCTTTTTTTCCCCCAATAAAGTTTATTTATTTATTTTTTTGTTACAAATTTTAAAACCTCTTTGCAAACAAAGTGTCACCTGGGGGTTTTCCCCCCCTTTTTCCATTCTCTCTTATACATAATTATTTTTACACCACATGATCATTTCCAATTTCGGCCCCATTATTTTCCTCCCATATTTCCAATTTTTTCTTAACAAATGAACAAAATCATTTTTCACCCTTTCAGAGAAAAAAACTATACCGACCTTATCATTTCATTTTCCATTTGTTATTTCCAATTTTTGTATGTAGCCGATATCATCAAGTTCCATTTTAATATAGCAAGCATTTTACTTAACTGATTATTGACACCTAACGACGTTGTCTTATTTAACTATATATCAGCAGCAGCATCAACATATTTCATTTTCCACTAATATCTTTCTTTCCTACTACCTTCCTCCTTTCCTAGCCATTTTTTTCTTATCTCTTGCTCCCTTTGGCGTACTATTTTTCTTCCGTTTTCTGTTTTTCCTTCCCCCCTTTTTTCCCCCTTTTATACGTATTGTATCTTTTCTTCTGAGTCCCCCCTCTCATTCTTCTGTAACTTATTTGAGCAGCCCTCCCCCCTTCAAGGGATCCTCCTGGAGGAGGCCCTTGGGATCCATTCTCTGGAATCTCCTGTGGGGGGGGGAGGAGGGATCCCCCATTGATCCACCTGCGCTTCCCTCCCCAGGGACCGGCTACGTACCATGACCAACGTCTTGGGAGATGCGCTGGCAGCCGGGATCATGGCTCACATCTTCCGGAAGGACTTTGCTCCAAAGGTAACCCTTTGGAAGGGCCGGGGAGCAGAAGCCCCCTGAGCAACCGGGGAGGCTGCTGGCTCTACTCCCCCCCACTTTTCTCCTTCCTCTCCCCCCACAAAGGACCCCGTGAACGAGAGTCCTCATCCTCAGGACCCCAGGACGCCAGGGACGGAGGAGGCTCTGGTGGGACAGAACGGCATCTGTGAGGTGTGAAGACCCCGTTTCCCACCACCTGCGACATCCAGGGGGACCAGTGCTGTGGCCAGCTCCCTTCGACTCTCCAGGACCCCCAAGAAGGAAGACAGAGGAGCCCCCCCCCCCGACTCTCCTCACCTGAAACCCCTTTAGCTGAAGCCAAGATCAGAGACGCCTGAGAGGTTGCTGGCCTCTTCTGAAAAACGAACATTGGACTCTTGGCTCCTTTTTTTAATTTTACTTTTTTTGATAACAAAGGCAAAAACTTTTCACGGGCTCCCTTAGTCCTCATCCCTGAGACGCCTCCCAAAAGACCCCCCCGGCGGCTTTGCGGTTCTAAAAAGGAAGAAATGTGTTTTTCTAAGCAGGGGGAGAAGATGATGCAAAGCAGAAACTCATCAAGGAGAGAAGCAACTTAGAACGGAGGAGAAATTCCCTGACAGTGAGAACAATTAATCAGTGGAACAGAAGTTGCCTTCAGAAGTTGTGAATGCCCCAACAGTGGAAAAACACATTTCTT